GTAGCTCACGCCTGTAATCCTAGCACTTTGGGAGGCCAAGGCAGGTGAATCACTTGAGGTCAGGAGTTTGAGACCAGCCTGGCCAACATGGTGAAACCTTGTCTCTACTAACAATACAAAAATTTGTCAGGCATGATGGCAGGCGCTTGTAATCCCAGCTACTCAGGAGGCTGAGGTGGCAGGATCACTTGAGTCTGGGAGGTGAAGGTTGCAGTGAGCCGAGATTGTGCCATTGCACTGCAACCTGGGCAACAGAGTGAGACTCTGTCTCAAAACAGGACAAAATGCAACAAAAATGTAACTAATTACTCAGCCTGGGCACAGTGGCTCACTCCTGTAATCCCAGCACTTTGGGAGGCCAAGGCAGGAGAAAAACTTGAAGTCAGGCATCCGAGACCGGCCTGACCAACATAGTGAAACTCTGTTTCTACTAAAAATACAAAATTGGCCAGTCATGGTGGCGCAGGCCTATACTCCCAGCTACTTGGGAGGCAGATGCAGGAGAATCACTTGAACCTGGAAGATGGAGGTTGCAGTGAGCCGAGATGGTGCCATTGCACTCCAGCCTGCACAGCAAGAGTGAAACCCTGTCTCAAAAGAAAATAAAACCAGGTGTGGTGGCTCACGCCTGTAATCCCAGCACTTTGGGAGGCTGAGGCAGGTGGATCACCTGAGGTCGTGAGTTTCAGACCATCCTGACCAACATGGAGAAAAACCGTCTCTAATAAAAATACAAAATTAGTCAGGCGTTGTGGCGTATGCCTGTAATCCCAGCTAAGCAGGAGGCTGAGGCAGGAGAATTGCTTGAACCCAGGAGGCAGAGGTGGTGGTGAGCTGAGATCGTGCCATTGTGCTCCAGCCTGGCCAACAACAAAAAAAGTAATTACTCTTTAATTGTTTGACTATTGAAAACTCCTAGTTTCTAAGGGATATCAGCACATGAGTTCCCACCTCTGTTATTCAGGCCATATACATGTCATTGATTGCACACTGATGGACAAAATAGAAAGCAAAACAGTAACAAAAATGAGGAGGTCACAGAAGAGGGTAGTAACATTTTAGCCAGAGAAAAACTACTATAAATGGAAGAAGTCAGAAAATAAGGCAATCTGCATCATATTGCAAAATGCTGTGGAGAGGTAAGGTCATGTTACAATGTAGCCTAGAAAAAGAAAAACAAGCAAAACCCCTGAAGTTGAAGATGTGGTTCTAAATCAACATCCAGCCCCACTCATGACTCTACATGTAATTTTGAGCACGTCAGCTCTCTGGGACTCAGTTCCCTCATCTGTAGAGTGAGGAGTGGGCCTAGATCCTCCCTTAGACCCCTTTCAGCAGAAATCCCTGATTCTATGGAGCTGCACGTTTTCTGACCCATGCAGGAAAGGTCAGAACTCTGGAGAGCCTTCACAGGGCTTTAACTGTTCTAAGGAGATGACCCACCTGCATCTTGGTTCATTGACAACATGACAATGAGTTCATCATAGAGCCCTTAAACAGGTCAATTTGGATACCCAGCAGGTGTTTTGAAAAGCTACTGATTTAGGCCCAATTAGGAGGCGGGGCAAGGGGTTGCCTTGGAGAAGCAAACAGGGACGGCAGGCTGCTTGTCAATCACTCTCTGCTCTGGGCTCCCTTTCTTTTTGCCTCTTTCGCATATGGGCTTCCAACCCTGGGAGCCATTTTTAGGGTGAACAAAGGCGTCTGTGGAATGTTCATTTGTTTCTATTGTTTACCACAAGCAGTCTTTGTTTTTTTAACTTGAATAGTTAACACTCCCTCTTAAAACCAGACTCAGAATAAAAACTATGCTTCACACTGTTTGCAAGAGCCAAACACTGGACACCCAGATGCCCATTACACATAGGATGGGGGCTGGGTGCGGTGGCTCTTGCCTGTAATCCTAATGCTTTTGGAGGCCAAGACGGGTGGATTGCTTGAGCTCAGGAGCTGGAGACCAGCCTGGGCAACACAGCAAAACCCCAACACTACAAAAAAATATGTGAGTTGGCTGGGCATGGTAGCGTGTGCCTGTAGTCCCAGCTATTCAGGAGGCTGAGGCAGGAGAATCACTTGAGCCAGGGAGGTTGAGGCTAAGTGAGCGATGATCACATCACTGCACTCCAACCTGGGTATCAAAGTAAGATCTTATCTCAAAAACAAACAAAAATAGAATGGTTCCAGGTGTGGTTACTCACGCCTATAATCCCAGCACTTTGGGAGGCTGAGGCCAGGAGGCTGAGGCCAGAGGCAAGGAGTTCAAGACCAGCCTGGGCACCACAGGGAGACCCTGTATCTACAAAAACTAAAGTAGCTGGGCATGGTAGCAGGTGCCTATAGTCCCAGCTGCTCAGTAGAAGGAGGTGAGGGAATTGCTTGACCCAGGAGATTGAGGCTGCATTGAGCTGAGATTGTGCCACTGTACTCCAGCCTGGGCAACAGAGTGAAACCCTGTTTTAAGAAAAAAAGAAATGGATAGGGTTGGGCATGATGGCCCACACTCATAATCCCAGTGCTTTGGGAGACCACCGTGGAAGGATCACCTGAGGCCCAGGAGTTTAAAATTCCAGTGAGCTATGATCGTCAGAGGCGTTTGAACCAGAGCAACTCCATCTTGAGTAGGGGCTGGGTAAAATAAGGCTGAAACCTACCGGGCTACATTCCCAGACAGTCAGGCATTCTAAGCCACAGGATGAGATAGGAAAGCAGCACAGGATACAGGTCATAAAGACCTTGCTGATAAAACAGGTTGCAGTAAGGGAGTTGGCCAAAATCCACCAAAACCAAGATGGTGATGATCGTCCTCACTGCTACACTCCCTTTAGCACCATGACAGTTTACAAATGCCATGGCAAAGTTACCCTATATGGTGGAAAAACGAGAGGCATGAATAATCCACCCCTTGTTTGACATATCAGCCTCCCAAGTAGCTGGGACTATAGGCACATACCACCGTACCCCACTATTTTTTTGTTTTTGTTTTTGTTTTTTTTTTGAGATGGAGTTTTGCTCTTGTTGCCCAGGCTGGAGTTTAATGGCAAGATCTCTGCTCACCGCAACCCCCACCTCCTGGCTTCAAGTGATTCTCCTGCCTCGGCCTCCCGAGTAGCTGGGATTACAGGCATGCAACACCACGCCCGGCTAATTTTGTATTTTTACAAATACAAAACCCTGTAGAGACAGGGTTTCTCCATGTTGGTCAGGCTGGTCTCAAACTCCTGACCTCAAGTGATCTGCCTGCCTCGGCCTCCCAAATGCTGGAATTACAGGCATGAGCCACCATGCCTGGCCTACTTTTTTTTTTTTGAGCCGAAGTCTTACTCTGTTGCCAAGGCTGGAGTGCAGTGGCAGTGATCTCGGCTCACTACAACCTCCGCCTCCTGGGTTCAAGCAATTCTTCTGCCTCAGTCTCCCCAGTAGCTGGAATTACAGGCACTCACCACCACGCTCAGCTAATTTATGTATTTTTAGTAGAGACGGGGTTACACCATGTTGGGCAGGATGGTCTAGATCTCCTGACCTCGTGATCTGCCCACCTCATCCTCCCAAAGTGCTGGGATTACAGGCGTGAGCTACCACACCCAGACGCACCCCACTAATTAAAAAAAAAATTTGTGGAGCTGAGATGTCACTATATTGCCCAGGCTTGTCTCAAACTCCTGGGCTCAAGGAGTTCTTCCACCCCAGCCTCCCAAATGCTGGGATTACAGATGTGAGCTGCTATACCAGCTAACAACTAACCTATTATTCTAGAACAGTTGTTACTGTTGACGAACAAAGTCAAACTCTGTAAAATGTTTAAAGAGGTTTACTTTGAGCCAAATATGAGTGACCATCGGCCGAGGGACAGTCTCAAGAGGTCCTGAGAAATGTGTCCAAGGTGGTTTAGTTACAGCTTAGTTTTATATGTTTCAGGGAAACATAAGACATCAGTCAATACATGTGAGGCATATATTGGTTCAGTCTAGAAAGGCAGCACAACTCAATGCGGGGGAGGGGGGAAGCGTGCTTCTAGATGATAGGTAGGTTCAAAGATTTTCTTTTTATTTATTTTTTTATTTTTTGGAGACAGAGTCTCTCTCTGTCACCAGGCGCCAGGCTGCAGCGTGGTGGCGCGATCTTGGCTCACTGCAACCTCTGCCTCCCAGGTTCAAGAAAATTCTCCTGCCTCAGCCTCCCGAGTAGCTGGACTACAGACACACACCACCACGCTCAGCTAATTTTTGTATTTTTTAGTAGAGACATGGTTTTACCATGTTGGCCCAGATGATCTCCATCTCTTGACTTCGTGATCACCCCCGACCCCCGCCTCAGCCTCCCAAAGTGCTGGGATTACAGACATGAGCCACCGTGCCTGGCCAATTGAAAGATTTTCTGATTGGCAATTTGTTGAAAGAGTTATTATCCAGAGACCTGAAATCAATAGAAAGGAGTGGTTAAGATAAGGAATTGTGGAGACTTGCAAGGTTCTTATTATGTAGATGAAGTCTCATAGGTGGCCACTGTTAGAGGCAACAGATGGCAAATGTTTTCTATTTAGAACTTTAAAAGGTGCTGGTCTCTCAGCCAATCTCTTCAGGATCAGAAAAAGTCTTGGAAAGGGAAGGGGATTCTCTGTAGAAAGTAGATTTCGGCTGGGCGCAGTGGCTCACGCCTGTAATCACAGCACTTGAGGCAGGTGGATCACGAGGTCAGGCGTTTGAGACCAGCCTGGCCAACATAGTGAAACCCCGTATCTACTAAAAATTAAAAAAAAAAAAAAAATTACCTGGGTGTGGTGGTGCATGCCTGTCATCCCAGCTACGGGGGAGGCTGAGGCAGGAGAATCCCTTGAACCTGGGAGGTGGAGTTTGCAGTGAGCCGAGATTGCACCACTGTACTCCAGCTGGGACGACAGTGCATGAGTCTGTCTCAAAAAGAAAAAAAAAAGAAAGTAAATTTTCCCCACAAGCACAGGATACAGCTTTGCAGAGCCATTTAAAAATATGTCATCAAAGTTGGTCCTTTTGTAGTTGAAGAGTAAATTGATTGGGCGTTCACGTGCATGTGTCAGATATGCCACCCTCCAACCTTGTTAGGATGTTGGCACATTACCTGTCTGACATAAAAGAAAATCAATAATAAATAAAAATGTGTCAGAGAAATATATTCTGGGGTAAAAAAATTTTATTCCTCTCAGGGCCTGCTATCTGTCATGTGATGCTGTACTAGAATCAGGTTGGAATGTGGTATGTTATTGCTACAAAGAGTCTGCTTTGTCACTCATAAGATCTCTGTTTTAATATTAATGCTGGTCAGCTGTGCCTGAATTCCAAGGGGAGGAGATTATAATGAGGCATATCAGACCCCCTTTGGAAATCCCCTTGGTGGAGAGGAGTGGGGTCTGTTCAGCCATGTGGCAGGGCGCTTATAATTTGCTTTTTGGTTCACATTACCCTTGTGGGAATTCATGACTGGAAGACAGCAAGAGGGAATCTTCCAAGATTCTGGTAGATTCTGATTCTTGATTTGAATTGTGGTTCTATGGATATAAATTTTGTAAAAATTCGTGAAACTGCAAACTTATGTACATTTTTTT